GCCCGATCAAGATAATTTTTGGATGATGTATCAATACCCTTACGCAAATCTAGGAAAACTTATATCAAAATTCATAGCTATATCCTCTCACTTCCACTCAAGTATAGGTATGACCATAACATTACACTAAGTTTTTGATGTTTAGCTTTACCATTTGGAATGACATGCATTTAATGATAAATTCAACCACATCCTTCTTAATTCTAGCTCACTAGAATACTCATTTCAAGTCTTTATACATATTCGTACTACTATGGTTATGTAGCTAAAAAATAAGCTTCAATCCTGATCTCTTGATTCATATAAGAATATCCTTGGACCCAAAGATGTCCCTAACTTCTAATCGGTGCTTGATCATCAAGTATGAGACCATATCTTTCTCCTGATTGAATTTTCTCCATCAGTTTTTGATATTCCACGTTGGCCTTCTTTGCATCCCAAACTCTTTTTTCTAAGGTAAGATGCAAGGGTATTTGATATTGGCTAATAGAGACTTGATCATTCTAGTTGTCACTCTTAATTACACAGCTATCGTCTCTCTAATTAATTTATTCTCATAAGTTAGCATCCAATTAACCTGTCTACTAAATTTCCTAATCAAGGCATCACCCACTACAATGGCTTTATCTAATAATTCTGGATATGAATCTCATAATCTTTAATCAATTCTAACTATCTCCATTATCTTAAATTTAAAACATTCTGAGTAAAATTATATTTTAAACTCTTACGATCGTAAATACTTCACACTTAACATCATATGTTGCAATCTGGGATTCATACTCTGTGGTTTTGATGATGACAAATATTATTTATTGAATTGTTATTTGTCTCATTAAATAGTTTAGAAATTTCTTCTATTTGTGAGCACTAACATTACAGGTAAGACATACACCGCTCAAGTCTACTAAAAGCTTAAGAATGGGTAGAATATGAATGTCAAGTAAATAAAGTCTGTAATTTTACTTTTATTTATTTTTTATTTATTGAGTCTAGCTACATAAGAGTATGCAATTGGGTGACCGTGCATACACACAGATGGGGAGTGATAAATTTTAAAAGTTAAAATATTTGTACTAATCTTACTTTATGACTTACAATTGTATTATATGATTAGTATAGAAAGATTTGGGCTTAACGACTAATTGAAAATTTATTTTATATGAATTAATCATGTTATATGATTCGTTACGATTTGAAAATCCAAGCCATCATATTAATTTAAGTAAGATTTTGAAATTTGATTTTTAAACTAATCATATTGTACGATTCTAATTGTACTATACGATATTTGAAATCTTGCATAAATTAAATATCGCGATTAATCAATGAAATCTTGGTTTAATTAATGATAGCCGATCATACCAAATGATCGACATCGATAAAATTTGGTCATCCAAAAGATCGTACTAAATGAAACTATGATTTTTGACTAATCGTACCATATGATATTCATCTCGTTATGGACAACCTACTTGAAATCAACTAACCATATTGTACGTGGGAGCAATACGGGATGATTAATAGAGACAATTTCCACTCGTCCTAGGAATCATCCTGTACAAATAGGGGAATTCAAACAGATCATGCTAAACTATCTCTGGATTGTACTATATGATGTATTCAAATTAGTTGAACCGTTCGTCTGAATGACTATTTACATCGTACTAGACGGGACTAGTTTTGAACTGATCGTGATGTACGAACTAGAATTATATTGTATGAACATTAAAGACTAACTTGATTTTTTAGGGTTTCTTGAAGCCAAATACTTAAGCAAGTTTTAGAAACTCTTTGTAATGTTGAGGGGATTGTGTGAATACTGAAGCTACTCTGAGAGAGAAGCTTTTGAGTAGGGGTGTAAACGAGTCGAGTTTTGACATTATTGAGCTCAGCTCGTCAGTCAGAATGCGAGCTCGAACTCGAGCTCGAGCTCGAGTCAAGCTCAAAACGCGAGCTCGAACTCGAGCTCGTCCCAATGTTAACGAGTTCGAGCTGGCTCGCGAGCCTGGGCGGTCAGGTCAGCCTTCGAGCGCGAGTCTTCCTAGTCCGCGTGGAGCTCGATCCCATCGGAGGAGCGTTGAAGCAAAATAATATTTTTTATCAGTTGCAGCTTTTTACTTCTCCCAAAAATAATATTAAAATAATATTTTTATCACCAGTTGTCAACAAAAGAAGGAAAAGCAAACTGGTAAGCTGCAGCTTTTCACTTCCCCCAAGAAAAAAAGCTGCTGTAATCAATTTTCATTGGTTCATTTTTTTGCATTACCGCTTCCGGTTTTTCGAATTCCCGCCCATGTTCATTTGGAATTGCTGCTGTTGATTTTTTTTTTATTTAAATAATCAATCGAGCTCGGCTCGCGAGCTCACTAAAGCTCGGCTCGCGAGCTCGTTATCGAGTTGAGTTCGAGCCGGCTCACGAGCCGGCTCGGCTCACTTACACCCCTACTTTTGAGTAATCCAGGGTTTAAGAAGAAGTCGAAGGTGATGTTGATCATGAGGGAGGAGTGTGAGGGGATCACATGGTTGCTCTGGGCTAGCTACACCCTTGCGCCTCCTATGGCCTTGGTGAGTCTTTGGATGATCTTTGGGGAAAGAGGCTACTAGGTTAAGTCCTTGAGGTACTCTGCCTTCTCTAGGAGGAAGAAAAAGGAACTGAGGTTATCTACCTTCTCTAGGAGGGAGAAAAATGATTCAAGGTCCGCTATCATCACCGGGAGGGTGAAATAGTGTCTGACACTCCGTTGCATCATGTTTGGTGAAAGCGAGTCTGTAAGGATCCTTCACCTTGCTGTGGGAATAAAATGATAGTCACTTAGGGTGCATTTGGGATGGTTACAGCTATCGTTAAAATAGGTTGTCAAGTTGTTGTACAATAAGTTGAGTTTCGAAGTTGTTGTACATAAAACATTATATTTTATTTGGGAAGTATAATTGTCATGCTGTTGTGCTACAGCTATATGGTAAGAAATTACATTTATAACCTTAAATATATTGAGATGAAAGGAAATTGATTAAATGTTATTTTTTTATTTATATGATAACAAACTAACAATTCCAAATTAAAATTGTATCCACTTTATGAATTATTTTATGACTTTTAAGTATCAAAGTAATATAAATTTTTTTAACATGTAATATCATACTTCAAAATAATCTAAAATTTTATAATACTTTTTTTATTACTTCATAATAAATTTACTTTTTCTAATAATGATAATATAACTCCAATGAATTTTTGAAATTTAATAAGAAATTAAATAAGTATGGAATGACATATCATGAAATAAATTATTTCTATTTCTTTAAATTACAATTTTACTCTGAAAAAGTTTATAGAGACTTTATGTTCATTAAATCTCATGAAAAATCAATATGAATATTCTGTTTTTGATGAGTATCATTAAAGCTGTTACACAAAACAATAAAAGCTTTGAAGTCCTAATATTTATTTTTTGTCTTCATAATTAAAACTAATATCTATTTTTAAATGTGTGCTATTTGGTTGTTTTGCGGTTTTGTTCATTCCCTTTATGTATTTCCAAAGTTTATATTAATGTATATTTACTGTCATAATCAATTTAGGATGTGAGCCACCATAGTCAAGACATGTATAAGCACCTCCAATTTGAGGATGCTGAAAATAAAGAACAAAGTATTGAAGATAATGAGAACTATATTAACCTCAAAAGTCCTCGCATCATTTCAGAGACAACAATTATGACTTCTAATATGTAAAGTCAACATCCTTTCTACGACAAATACTATCACAATGCAATTACAAATACGAAAAATAGTAATGACAATCATAAAGAATTGATAGGGGAATCTCAACTTACAGGCTTCTAACATTGTTTAAGCAACCAAAAAGGTTTACAAACTTCCACCTCTACTACTAACTCGCATTACACAGGAAAAAAAGTGTATGATACAAAAGGATTGGAAACTCCTTACTAGCCATTGCAGCTTAATAATAGCCAACATCCAGCAGGCATACAATGTCTATATTCTTTCATGCTTTAACAATTGCCTCACAAGCAATTACGAATAACGATACTGACATCACTGACAGGAAAGAAAGGTAGAAATTTAGCTAATAACTCCACATACTGAATCAAGTAGTATATTAGAAAGCTTAAAATCACGATAAATGACGTATATTTTAGCACCATGCGGAAATGCCAGTTCTCTCGCAGCCCCCACTGCAATCTTCATTCAAAGTTTCTAGGAAATTGATTAAAAACATGATCCTCCAGCTCCAACATTGAAGTAATTTAGTAATCACATATTCTGGATTAATTATGAGTTCTCTCAAAACAATAATCTTATTTAGCAACCAAAGAACCAAGCACTACATATTTTCATCATATCCATTCAAGTAAAAAGCATTCATCCATTAGAAAATCAAAGATATAAAAATCAAGAATGACAACCATAAATATCTTACTTCTGAACAGATGGTTCTCAAGACCCTCTCTTTGCAAAAATTCATAGTCCAGAAGGCGATGGTCATCTTCTAGATAGTAGCCAATCAGCTTGACAAGGTTAGGGTGATGAAACTGGCATAAATAATTTACTTCTCCTTTCAAAATTTAAAAATAAAAAATACATTTTAAGATCAGATAATCAATGGCTAATAGCAGATTAGAATATTAAAATAAATGAAAGGCTAATGATTATGTATATGTTCTCCAAACTCTACCCCTCTATAAGACAAGCAGTATTGACACACTTTTTGTAATTGCAGATTTATAGTGGTCAAAACATTTAATAGCATACATGGATAAATATTGTTCAGCCTTGGAGTTCTTGTTGTTTCTCCTCGGTTGTTTATGATGCAACAAACTTGAAAAGTTGTTTGGAAAGAAGAAAGCCATGAAGAACTGGTTGGAATATTATAAGCTGAAGTATGAAAGGAACTCATCTAAAAGGCCCACTTGCGAGGTCCCTCTTAGTATTTTCTCGAATGAGAATTGAGTTTATGTTTGTCACTGCAGCTTTATTGGAAATAATAACATTGTCCTGGTTTCTTAACCATAGTCATTTATTTGGGCTTTACGGTAAGAAGGTGAATACAACTGAATACTACACTTCAGAGATTGACAAATTATCAAAAGAGGTAAGCCATGTCATGTGAATAATGTAGGACAGTGAAGAGCTTGGAATTTGCAAACCGGGTTCACTTCACTTTTGAGTACCACAGAATTCTTAAGAAAAAAATTAATATTTGCACGGCCTTCAGTCATTTTATATGATAGTAAGACACATTAATTAAGATGGAATACTAAAGAACAGTAAACCTAATGACAGAAAATAATGTCGCAAACGGTCCACCATCCTTAAGTTTACACATTGGAATACCTAAATATTAGATAATGCATTAGTATTTCTATTTAGTCTACTAAAAAAAGAGAATAATCTCTTACATAAGAAGTTTTAAATTCCAAATTCCTTTAAATCTAAAATTCTACTAAAAAAAGTCAAATAAATTATTAGAATTTAATAAAATTTGACAGATGCCATTGCAGAAAGTTTTAGATATTAATATTCTGAACAAAAAAAAATCCCTAAACCATAATTACCATCAAAGCTCAAAAAAGAAATGAAAACCAAGGAGTGGGGAATAAAAAAGAAAGCATAGATTCTCTTAGAACCAAAAAGAAAATAAACGGTAGCTTTCTTTGATAATGGGAAGAGAAAGAAAACAGGAAACGCATTATACCTGACGAGGTGAGAGGTTTTTCATTGATGAACCCACTGAGTGTATAGTTCTTCTGGATATCTGTGGATCCTAACCCAATTAATATCGTCGCTCACCTATTTATGAAGCTAGTTAGAGAATTCTCCGAGGAGACACTACTTGTACCTGCGGCGATGAACAAAGAACTAAAGCTTATCAAGAAGAGAAACAAAGGAGGAATGCGGCAGAGAAACACCAAAGTCAAATTCACATACAAAAGCAAAGGGGCAAAGGGATTTTGAAGATGAATTTTTTTATGGAAATCAAATTAAACTTTTATGGTCTTACCAATAATCAATAGTTGCCGGGGTGCTTTCTCGTCAATCTAAGAAGGATGTGAGCAGAAGAAATCTTACTTTATACAATTGCTGGGGAACTCAGATTACAAGAGATCAGTGTTAGACTAGTCTTCCTACTATCCCGCTTCTCGCACACATACTTTCTGTTTTCTCTATATGTCTATATATAGCTCATGTACCATCTTAAAATGAATATAGAAATTACTTTCTCTGTTATCTTTTCTTGCCTTCTTTGCATTCTCCTTTGTGCTCTGTTTCCTGTCAGAGCTTTCATGATATCAGAGCAGGATACCCCGTGATATCCTCCTTCTCTGTTTCTATCTTCTTTTTTTCGTGTTCGGGTCACCATGGCAACCTCGTCCTCTTCTACCGCAGCCACGTCTGAAGCCCGACGGAGCTCCGACACTCTTCTTGAAAAGCAATCAATCCCTCAATAGCTCAAATTCTTGATGAGCCATATCAAAGGTATCATCTCTCTCTCCCTCACAGCCGAAAATTACCCGCTATGGCGCTCCCAGGTTTTCAAGCTTTTCAAGGCCAACGGTTTTGAAGGGTTTCTTAATGGTAGTTGCATCTGCCCCTCCCCACTAGCCCCATCTTCTGAAATTAAACTCTCCTATCAAACCTGGAATCTTCTTGATCAAAATCTTGCCGCTGCACCTTATCCCCAAGCATTCTACCCTATGTTATTTCTCTAGAACATTGCACAGAGATTTGGGAAACTATTGCTAGATGCCTCCAATCCAATGCTCGGTCTTGCACAATTCAATTACGCAATGAACTCCATCACCTCTCCATGAAAAATCAGTCAATGTCCCAATATCTTCTTGCCATTAAATCCATCGTCGATGGCATAGCTGCAACCGGTTCTCCCTTAGATCCAGAGGAGATGATCTTTTACACCCTCAACGGCCTTCCAGTCCAATATCAAGCTTTCAAGACTTCCATCCGCACAAATCTGCAACCTCTCAGTCTTGACGACTTGTACACACTTCTTTGTAGCGAAGAATTAAACATCACAAAAGAAGATACTACGAAACTTCAGAATCTTCACCTTACCAATCCAGCCACTGCACTTGCTGCCTATCGCGGCCGCGGCCGAGGACGAAACAACAATGGATGTGGACGCTCCTCAAACTGTGGCCGCTCCCGTCCCGACAAGAACTCCTCCAGCAGCCTCATATGCCAAATTTGTTCCAAAACAGGACACTCAGCACTTAAATGCTGGCATCGTCACGATCCCTCATATACGGAAGAACCTGTTAAAGCCGCATTGTTTACTCCCTCTGATTCCACCAATAACACGGACTGGTTTCTTGATAGTGGCACATCTAGTCACTTAACTTCCGACTCGTCAAAACTTCAGTCCAGCAGATCATACACCGGCAATCAACAAATAATGCTCAGAAACGGCTATTAACTTCCCATTCAACACTCCGGCAAAGGTATACTCCCAACTCCGACAGGTAACCTCTATCTTCAAAATCTACTCCATGTACCAAATCTTTCGTTCAATCTTATTTCCATTTACTGGCTAACCCATGATAACCACTGCACTGTCAAGTTTTCTGCTCATGATTTTCAAATTCAGGACTTAAAGACAGGTCGTCTACTACTCCAGGGACCATGTCTTAAAGGGTTATACCCCATCCCGCTCGCACACTACCGCTTCTAATCTTGCTCTCTTTTCCGCTCAAGAAGTACGAAATCTTTGGCATAGACGGTTCGGTCATCCGGCACGGCAAACACTCCAACAAATTAGAAAATTTATTCCTGCTTTATGTAATAATACAAACCTCACACATTGTGATGCTTGTAACTTGGCCAAGAGCCACCGTCTACCATTCAAGATCTATACTTCTTTTACTTCGCATATTTTTGAATTAGTCCACTCCGACGTTTGGGGCCCCTCCCCTATCACCTCCATTAACGATCACAAATACTATGTTTCGTTCATCGACGACTACTCCAAATTTAATTGGATTTTTCCTTTAGCTCAAAAATCTGAGGTGTTTGTTAAATTTTTGGAATTTAATAAAATGATTAACAACCAATTTAACAAACACATCAAAATTTTCCGCTTCGACGGTGGAGGAGAATGCCTAAACAACAAGTTCGATCTCTCTTCAAACATTTAGGAATCCTTCATCAGTTCACCTGCCCTCACAAGCCCTCTCAAAACGGAGTTGCTGAAAGGAAACATCGTCACATTTTAGAAACAATGCGCAGCCTCCTTATTGAAGCCCACCTCCCCAAATCGTTATGGGTCGAAGCACTACACACTTCCGTTTATCTCATAAATAGATTGCCTTCTCGATCTCTCAATAACAAAATCCCATATCAAATTCTCTATCAAAAACCTCCCACTTACAATCATCTCAAAATCTTCGGGTGCTTATGCTACCTGTCTTCGGCCATATAATAAAACAAAAATTTCTCCGCTTTCTATATCGTGTATCTTCATAGTCTACGCTCCCTTGCAAAAAGGGTACTAATGCCTTAATCATAAAACCGGACACATTTATACTTTGCGGCACGTGGTCTTTAATGAAGCTATATTTCCTTACAATTCTCCCACACAACCTTGCCCTACTCAATCTGCTCAAAATTGTATCCCACCACTTCTTCTTATTCCTACTCACTATACCAAAACTTCTCATTCGGCACCTCAATTTGACTCACAACTGCCACCGGGACAACAACCACTTCAGCAAAGCATTCCTTCACCAATAACCTACACCAATACCACTCAACATATCTCAAACCAATCCCATAGTATATGTTCTATGCCCAACCCGTTACGTAATCCTCATCCTACACATATGACGCAAACACGCTCTAAAATCAGTCACTCCCGACCTAAGAACATATTTAGCCTCGCACACTTCACTTCGGATCCCGACCCCTGAAAGTTAGTTAGGGATGATAAGCCCTTATGAACTGGCCCAATGCTAACAAAGAGAGAGGTGAATTGGATAACTTTAAAACCAAAGATAAAACTCAAACTAAAATCACCACAAAGAAAACTAAATGCGGAAATTAAATGCGGAAGCAAATAATAAGAAAGAACACATCGGATTTATAGTGGTTCGGTCAAATCTTGACCTACGTCCACTCCTTGGAGGCACCCTCCAAGTATTGCACTAAAACAAGTGTCTTTCCTTTAGCCCCCACAGCTAGGTGGAGAAGCCCTTACAAAATCACTTCCACCTTCCCCGGTGCGGCGGAGTCGCCGGGTCCTTTGACACCAAAGAGATCTTCTTCTTTGGTGAACTTCCCTCGATACAAGCCTTGAATCCGATGGTATTCAGGTGCGAGCTTGCCGGAGCAACCGTGTGGATCCCCCTCCAAACTCCCTTGAGTCCCCCCTCACAGGATCTTCTCCCTCTACAAACTCCACCCGTTCCTCACTCCCTTTCAAGCTCTCTCTTCAAGTTTCCCCCACAAAGAACGAAGCTACAATGGCTGCAAAAGACACTTACAAAGTGTCATGTCATAGCTTAAATAGAAGCTCTCAAAATGAGCTCATTAATACAAGTTGCCG